CATATTTAAGAATAACCTTCAAGCAATATTGCAGAACACCCCATCTCTAGTATATTACAGAACAGTGTGTGTTTAATGGCCATGGAATAAAATAAATATGGCCTTTCAGAGCCAAACTAAGTAACTGAATCATATCTGTCCAGGCACCACTCACCACAGAGCAAGGATAGGCCCCTCAGATAAATAAATAAGGAATAAATAAAAAATCACCCAGTTACAGTCAAACCAATGTCTGACGAATGGCAACAGGTGGAAGACGATAACCTGACAAGGAAGAAACAGCAACACGATGCAGATAGTGAGAGATGAAAGTATGCAGAGTGGTCCACATGCCTACTTGAAGAATTTCGTCCAATGGATGATGCAGATGAGATGCCAGGGAAAAGTGAGGTGCCGAATCTGATAGGAAGACACCCGGAATAATAGACAGGAAGAAGGAGAAAATGAAGAATAAACCATTCGAATTAATGTCATACCAATTGGTAAGGGTGGAAGTAGACAGATCACAAACCGAGGATAGTTGCCAAGGGATGAATAGACGGGAACGGTGATGATGGAAACAAGCTGTGCATGTGATATAACAACAAAGAGCACGGACAGGATATAAAAGTCTGTCCAGATAAGACCAGGAACAAAAGGTGGGAAATGGAAAGAAGGGAAATCAGCGAGAAGGAGGAATTACCCTCCCTAGCTGCCAATGTCTTGGGAAGGAAAGATCAATCAGGGTAAAAGAGAAGATAGGAGGAATGATACAGAGTATGTGAAACATCGAAGGCAAACAAGTCTGTCTGACAACATCCACAGGTCAAAAGGAGGAGGAAATACACTTTAAGGGATAAATAAACATGGAACAAAATGACAAAGGTTAAAATGGAAGTAAAGAAAGGCAATGAAACACAGCATTGACATCCCAATGCAGAAGAGCTGCATGCAGTGGAGGGCAACCAATCTGGAATGTAAGAGGAGGGACAAGGTATGGGAGACAAAAACTTTACAATACCAGGAAAATGTGTGGGATAAGGCTGCCCAATAACTCGTGATCAAGAAGACAGAAGACCCCTGATCAAATAACCAAGTGAGAAAATCCATATTAACAGGAAGAGTGGGACAAGCAGGGAAGAACCCTCGGCCCAAAAACCAACAGCGGAAATCGTTTCACTTACATTGATAAACCTCCATGGAAGAAGGTCGAACAGAATGTGGCAACAATGAAGCTACTTGCCTTGATAAACCAGATTTCCTCGCCAAGGACCAGATAAAAACCAGGTGTGAAGACAAAGGGCAGGAGTGGTGGGATGAACTACCCGGGACTGAAGCTGCCATAGAAAGGGTGGAGTGTTGGGAAGAGGCAACAGTGGAGCAGATTGGATATGAAGTAGCTGCAGAAACCACTGCTGAGCCAGCCAATATGGGGCAATCAGACAGACCTGACCTGGGATAAAGGAGCCCCCACTGGACCAGAAACCACAAGGTATTCACCAATACTGTTGGCGATGTGACACTCATCGTCGAAGAAAATGATGAGAAGAAGATACCCTTGTGGAAGGAGCCTGTAAGGGGTGGGAAGGAGTAGGATTGGGAACAGATATAGGGGACTGTCGAGGCTCTGTACAAGATAAACAATCAAACAATGAGGAAAGAGTTGACTGCTGTCTCACAGATTCCACACAAGATTCGAAAGTCACCAGAAGATCTCCAAAGATCAATTGATGGAGAAAATGGATTCCAAGTGTTGCGAATCCAGGAATGGAAAATCGATCTAGTGGTAGGCCAAAGTAAACTGCCCTGCAGCCCTCAGAGAGCGAGGCATGCTCCCATCATCACATAACTGAGATACAAAACACTCAGCATGAACCCCAATATCAGGAGAGGGTGCAAATGCAAAATACTGAGAGGAAGGAGTAACATGTAACAAGGAAGGTAGAGGATTAGAGGAAATTGGAAAAAGGGATAAAGCAGAACATACCTGTGAAATCATGTCCAAAATAGCTGTAATATGCCTAATAAAACCCACAGGAGTAACCAGGGAAGATATGGCAAATTTAGGTGGAGAAAATGGGTTGTCAAAACCGTCGTCATCCCACATAGGTTTGGCTTGTTCAGGAGGAAGTTGGGCAACATCAGGAGAAGAAGGTTGGTCCAAATAATGATCAGTCTCTCAATGAATAATTGGCAATAATTCCAAAGTCGAGTTACCCCACCTGAAGCCTGCTTAAATGTGCTGGTAAAAGGTACAACCACCAATGTGGTAACAGTTATTTCAGAATTCATAATGTAAACCAAACATAACTGTGTTGGTAAAGAAAGATAAAAACAGAAAATTTATTAATTTCCATAACTGAGTTTCAAAAGTGAAATAATACTTCTACAAAATATTAAAATGGAAATTATAGGTTGTAAGCTAGAAATATATGCTACAAAAATTCAAATTCGATTTGAGAGAGCACTAAAAAAAATATCTTAACACAAGCACTGCCAAACGAGAAGTGATAGTTAGGTAAAATAGTATGGTGGGAGTCACATGAGTAAGAGTGTGTGTGAGATATGTCTATTGGTAGAGGTTTGTCACATGATAATTTGCATGCGTGGATCAGTTAAACTGAGAGGGAATAAATGGTTTGTGATGTGTGAAAAATGTTTTGCAAATGTAGGGCAGCACTGAACGAGAATAGCTATGTATGTGAGTAGAAGTAAGGTACCTTGTCGGAAGTTAGTATGCTTCATTAACACATCTCTTTCATTTAAAGATGCCTACCTTTCCAGGAAACCATTGGTTTCCTGGAAAGTTTCATCCATTACGAGATGAATTTTTAGATTAAAAGTGTTTGTTTGTATTGTGAGACTAAAGAATTCAGCACAAGTAAAACTGATATTGACATAAATAATTTAATCACTCAATTCTTTCTATGTTGTACAAGAGTCTTATTAGCTTGCGTGTGTATAAAATGTTTAAGATGTAAAAAATGTGGACTATTAACTTGCTGTTTCAATAAATCCAAAGCCTCTACAGATTGAGATTATACTAATAGGAAGTCACCCAGGGATATTTTTTGGGACTTCTCGAAGTACACAATTAAAGATGAAAGATGTCTGCTAATCAAGACCTATCATTTCGTATATTGAAACATAAAGTCATGCATCAGCAGGTTATTTAGTTGTTTTTAAGCACACTAATAATAAATATACTTTGAATGATATCTTTGTGCTCACATTTCTTTGGAAGAAATAATATACTTAAGTGCAGAACTAATTTTCCTGACAATTAAAATGAGTTATGCATTATAAAATCTGTTTTTTGAAGTTAATTAATTATACAAAAAAGGAATTGAATTTTTTGTTCTGTGGAAATTTCTGTGATCATGACTGATGGTGTAACTATGGTTTCCACTTTAGTTCCTTCTTCAGCTAATATCTTTCTTTGTTTTCAGGAAAAAATTGGTTGAAGGATTGTTCATAATCTTTTAAATCATTATTTTATCAGAGATATGTGGATGACACTTTTACTATTGTTAAGGATATTAATATTTAAGTAGCAAGCATAACAGTATTAAATTCACTGTTGAATATCATGAAGTTGATGAATTTGCATTTTTAGAAATATTAATTGGAAGTTGTGATGGTAACTTTGAGTGCCTACAATAAAAATAATTTACAAGTTCATATTTTAACTTCAAACAAGCTATATACCAACTTCACTTATGGAAAACTTAATTAAGATCCTAGTTCATATACATATAAAATTTGATGCACCTATGAATTTTTGCAAAAAGAGTTTGACAACATCAAGAGATTTATCTATTTGATTAAAAGAATAATTTGTGAGTAATGAAACACATAAAACTTCTCAAAACTGTCAAAATATAAGATTCCAACGTGTCCAGTTTTTATAACTTTACTGTATATATTGGTAAGCATGCTTTGTATATTAAAACACAGTTACCAACCTTACAGTGTACACAGATGTAGAATTAACATGCATTTTTAAATGATGATACAATCCGTAGTATTTGTTCAAATAGAAACATTGAATTCCCCACTTAAAACTTCAAACGTGGTTTATCAGTTTATTTGTCACAAGCAAAGTTACATTAGTTCCAACATAAGAAGGCTGCTAACAAGTGAAAGAACATGCAAGTTTAAGATTGCTGAATAGATCAAGTGTATTGAAGTAAACCTTAGTGAGTGTGATGTAGTTGTCCATTCAAAATATTTCATGGTCTTCATAAAAGTCATTAATGGCAAAGGTTTCTCAATAAAATAGTTTGCTCATTCATAAGCAGAGGCCAAAATTAACCAAGTCAATTCAGCACATAAATTGATACTTATGTTGTAACTATAAGTTTAATCTATTTACAGTTATTTGTATAACAATTACATCCTCTTTCCTGAGTATATACTCAGAGAAGTCCAAAAACTTGTGCTGCATTACTTATGGGCATTTTTGCATTGGAATGTTAGTAATCCCATTTTTGTATTACCCTCAAGTGGAATGGGATTAAATCCCAAACCTTTTGCATGTCAGCCAGGTGCTCCACCAACTTAATTAAAAATTATCTTAATAGCTATCAACCAGATATGCTAAAGTTAGTTTGCTCCTGTGAGTGTTAAGCACATATATCATGAAATGCATATCTGTTTTATGCACATATCAACTTATGTGTATTTTCAATCACATCTTTTTTCTTTGTATTTTTCATGTCTTATTGTTTTACAAAATTAATATATCTGTCAAAATATTAAAACCCAAAGCCAAGTAACAGTAATATCTATCATGATACATAATGAATTAGGGGCTATGCATTTCTGCTGTACAAGCGAAAACTTTATCATTTAGACAACAAATAACTTACAAATCTGTATGTTGTATTTTCTTATTCTTATTTGTATATAAACATACTGTAATGATGCTGCTTATTATTCATGCTAATGGGCAAAGCTACAGATATACTAAACATTTTAAAAGGAACTTATGAGAAATAGCTAATGATTATAATACTTACGCCGACATTGGTACCCTTGCTTGAAGAGACCCCAAAGCTATACAGAAAAATAGGTACAAAAGTTAGTAATATGAACAGATTTTAACTCAAGTGACACCGAAGTGAAAGGATATTTTCAGCTACAATATAAAGAATGATGATAGTTTCATTACCTTCAATATAATATGATGTCTGTAACTAGTAAGAAGAACATCAAAATAATATAATGTATCAGTAATAGTGCACATTACTCACACATGACTCCTCAAAATAATATGATGTCTGTGACAAGTAAGAACAACACTGAAATAACACAACATATTACTCTTACACAACTCTCCAGGATAATATGATGTCTATGATTAGTAAAGAGAACAAAGAAATAATACAACATATGAGTAATGTTGTACATTACTCTCACACAATTCTTCTAAGATAATATGATGTCTATAATTAGTAAGAAAAACAAACAAATAATACAACATAAGAGTAATGTTGTACATTACCTTCTCACAACTCTTCAAGACAATATGTTATCTGTAGAGAGAACATTGAAATAATGCAACATAAGAGTAATGGTGCACATTACTCTCACATTAAATAATGAAAACTACAGTTTTAAGCTATGTAAGCTCCCAACAGCCCAAAGAATTAGGATCAGCACCTTGTTTAAAATTGTAATATTGAAATATTGTCTTTCTTTAGATGCAAAGTTTACAAGTTAGCTAACAACTGTATCATTAGCTAACTGGTATTTTAGCTATGAAAGAGTATCAAAATGAGTGTATAAACAAGAACTATATGCCACCTTTCTGAATTAAAAGTGTAAATCTATTTATAAACTCATTGTATTATAAAAAAATGCACCAATAATTTTCTTCTTGTTTCAGAATTTTCATGCAAAGTTACACAAAGGACTATCTAACCATAGCCACCCATAATGTTAAATTTAGAGGTTAGAGAAAAGACAGTTAGTCAACAGCAACCACTGTCAACTCTTATCTAACTAAATAGTGGGATTAGACTGTCACTCTTACAGCACACTCTTGGCCCCCAAATGCAGAGTGAGTTTTGCAGCAATGAGCCTTGACTCATGAACTTTTAGATTCAGTTTCAGTATGCTAACAGCTCGGTACACTTCACTTGCATCAATATTACTGAACAGTACAAATGATACCTTGGGTTACTAAAAGCTTATTAGCTTATGAAACAAAGTCAACACAAACTAATTATTGTGTGAAACTGATACATAACTTACAACATGTAATACCATGAATATCTGTCATTAACTATATATATATCTTATATTAATTAGTTCTATGTAACACTAGATGTATACGATTACACGCAACAATACAGGATATTCTTGTAAATAACAAATCATAATTTTTTAAACTTCTTGTTGTTCTTCAACACTTATAGCTAATGAAGATTTATCTTTAGAATATGTATTTTTCCAAAAATACAAATCTGGTAAAAATCAACATCATTATACATAAATACATGTATTAAAGCAGCCAGATTTACACATATACAAGCAAATTTATTCAAAATATGGCACCCATTTCCATTAAATAATGTTAATGGAAAAACGTATTTGTGGTATGTGTAATGAAAATTTTTTTATACTAATTAATAATTAAAGATATCGCAAAATGAAGTGGAACAATTACTTCACAAAACTCATTTGTCATATAGTTGCAATGCAAGAACATTTAAATTAATTGGTTCTAAAAGTTAAAATAGTTTTTGGGGAGCAAAATGTTTGCATATTGGACATTCTTACCAGGCCTGTGCAATGAGCACAAAATGTTGGTTTGAAATAAGATGTTTCATGGAAGTCGTGTCTGAAAATTTTTTTCAGGGCTTGAGAATTAGCTCCAAGAAAATATTCTTTCATTTCAGTCTTACTGATGAATCCATCCCTAAGAATTGAAAAGTACAGATAAATACTATGAATATAAAACTAAACATCATATCCCACCGAGTCAAAAAAAAAAAAGATTATCAAAATTTGATTTATTAGCTTTAGTTTCTGCTTTGCAAAATATAAATATTCTTTTTAATTAAAACAAATATGATTTTCCAAGACCTTTATAATATTCTGTAACAAGGCTTGCTAAAATAGGATTCGGATAAAAATATTTTTCCTTTTATGAATTACAAGGTATCTTATGTTAACTAATTGATTCAGTAGACTTCAAAAACATATGATATCCAATGGCAACACAAGCAAAAAAACAAAAAAGTTACATGATGTCATCATTATCACTATGCTGTTATATCATACCAAGCAAGACAAACAAAAAGTTACTTGATGTCATCATTATCACAATGTTGTTATAACATGGAAAAATGAAAAACAATTACTTGATGTCATCATATCACAATGCTGTTACAATGTAGCAAAGCAAGAAAAACAAAAAAAGTTATTTAATGTCATTGTTATCAAAATGGTGTGAAAATGTGAAGTGAGAAAAAAGTTACTTGATGACATCGTTATCACAATGCTTTTACAATGTAGCAAAGCAAGAAACAAAAAAAGGTTACTTGATGTGATCCTTTTCACAATACTGTTATAACATGGCAACATTAATCCATTACCATAAAAAAAGAGGAAACTATACGAATATCAGATGGCAGTCTTTAGTTATAAAAAATTAATTAATTAATATACATACATACCAGAACTAGACATAAAATGTATTTCATCATTATAATAATTTAAAAGCATTTTCTATTATACACTAAAACACACCTAAGTCTTGATGTAATTCAATGAGAGGTTTATTCCCTCCCTCACCATTTGTAACAGAATTTGATCTTAAATTGTACACCAAAAGTTTGAATACTGAAATTATTCAAAAATTATCATAACAAAAGTATAGATAAAAAAGCTAGATATTCTATTACAATAAATTTTTCAATGATAAAAAGCAACCTTTCATTTTCATAGTAAAGACACCATTTTAAGAATAAATGAAGATTTGAATACTGTATCTTTCACTAAGCAAATCTCAGTTTTCTGAATTAAATCCCCATACACACAAGACACATGCACATACATGGTAGTCTGAGTTGTTAAAAAGTGTTTACTAACAAGCCTTAGAAGCTTAACCTTTCAGTATAGTTGGTAGAGAAGTCAATTACAAGTTAGCAGTTTCCAGACTCAATCATATTCACCAGAAATGCAGAAAAACATTACCATAAAAAAGATTATTGTCCTACTGTAATGAATTTTTTCTACACTAGTGAAAGTACCCGACTTCACTCATGTTATTAGGTTGACATACTCTAGAAAACTATGTCAGTGTGTGTATTCTGAACCCATTTCAGCATAAAAGTATAACCTATATACATTTGTTGCTAAGCAACATGACATAAAAGCCATTGTTGGAACTCATTGTTACCAAAATGCACTGGCTTTTCTATATATTAGAAGTTGTTATATAGGGAACCACTTCTTTTCTAAATGGTTTTTCATTATCTTGCCTCATTAAAAAAATGGGCACCTATGTGCATGTCTTGCTGTCTGTCTGTGATTTATATTTGTAATATAAGGCACCATTTCTTTTCCATGTGGTTTTTTGCTAGTTTGCCTCATTAAAAAGAGGCATATGTGCGCATGCACGTGGATAAGTAAAAATACCCAGGTGCACACACTCAGTGTCCACTTAATATGGGTGCAAAATTTCGGGCTTCTAGGTTCTTTTTTCTTGGAGCTATGGTGGTCACATTTCTTTTCTATGTGATTTTTTGTGTAAAAAGATGCACATGTGCATGCACTCACACATGTGGATAAGATAAGTAATACCCAGGTGCACACCGTCAGTGTCCACTTAGTATGGGTGCAAAATTTCAGGTTTCTAGGTTATTTCTTCTTGGAGCTTTGGCAGTCACACAGAGACACACCCTTTTATTATTATAGATTAAGGATAACCAAAATGATTATACAAGGATTCTTGAAAAAATAAAATAAAAATTAGTGTTCGTTAGGACTTCCACAAGTTAAAGAAAATATAATCAAAATTCGAAAGTGCCAGGCCAACTTAACATCAAACTTCTAATTCAACAATATAATCTTGACACAAGAAGTTAGAAAAAAAGAAGAACCAAAAAGAAAAACTTGACTTTGTACATCATCACAAAATGTATTAAATAATACAACACTTTGAAAAGTTAAGTCCCTGACTAATTATAACTCACAACACTTATAAGCTCTAACTGAGTTTAAGATAATATGTAATCTAAAACTCTATATTCTCATGCATCTGGATTACAAGTCTTCAGTTCTCTTTTATTTGATACTAGATCACAATTCATTGTGAGGTGATTATTGGATACTGCTAAAACATCTGATCAATTTATTTACACAGAATGACAGATTGATTTACATATAACCAAAATAACAATCACAGAGACCTCACATCATCCAGTGTCAATTACTTTGTCTCACTATGATAATAATGTTACAATTCATTCTAATGGGGTATGAGCTGACATCAGCATAAACAAACTCAAGCAGCAGCTCATCTAAATTATGGAGGAAAATAAATGTAAACAAAATAAAAATTAACAAATAATGAGGGAATACAACCTCTCACAAGTAGGAATTATGATATGGAGATAAGGCCTGAAGATTGGCCTTTGTAAGAGGGGAAATATGTAATAGAATGAGTTGTTAAAAAGTGCCTTACTAGCAGGTTGCTCTTTAGCTCAGTTGGTAGAGCACTCACTTGTAGTGCAAGTAGTTCTGGGTTCAAATCCTGCACATGGAGCATACAAAAATTGAAATTACCACAAAAAAACTGGTGCCCAAACTAGTGATCATCCCACATGGGCCTTGTTTGTGAGAAAGGAAAATACTGTGGTAATTTGAATTGTTAAAAAATGCCCTATTACCAATTGCTAGTGGGGTAAACCATTCAATTCAGTCGATACAGCACTCACTTTGTGTTCAAGTAGAGGTCTTGGAGTTGACTCCAATCCAAGGAAATAGAAAAACAAAATTAATACTATATATATACACACACACACACACACAGTAATACCTTGCTATATATTTGATAAACAAAGTTTGGGTATAACGAACTTTGGATTTTTTACCATTACTTTACACAGAAAGCTAAAAATAAAGTAAAATAATAAATAAATACACTGAAATGAATAAATAAATAATAAATTTATTGATCTACAGTACAATATAAATAAGAATAAAATTATAATAAGATATGAATTCTTTTAAGTGTTGTGTATCAAGATGGTCATATATTGTTTGTTAATGTTTGTCTTGGCTGTCAGGTTTTATGAGTTGGGCATGATTCTTTGCAATAAGTGTCTATGGAGCAGAAGGCAAAACAGTCTACACTTCATTCCTTCTTCTAAAAACAATGTTCCTTTTCACCAATGAAGGAAGGAGAACCTCAACCTGGACCATCATCACTGACGGATCCTGTCAACCCTCTCCACATTCCTTCACCCACCGAAGCTATGAACAGAGCTATGGTGAAAGTACACTTTGTTTCTATTATTTATGACAGTTTTCAATTTTAATATTGTACAATAGAATTTTCAAATAAATTGTCTTACAATAAGAATGGTAAGTTATGAAGTGTTTATATTATGAAATGGTAAGTTATGAAGACTGGGAATATATCCTCATAGTAATAATATTATAAGTTATTCAATATATGAAGTCTCGGTAGATGAACAAAGCTCCAGAAATGCATCTGCTTCATATATGAAGGTATTACTGTATTTCAAAACTATCTTCCAGCATTATATTTCCATGGAAATGGTTCACACCACAATACTGATAAAGTGAATTTCTTTCATTAGTTAGTTACGCATTTCTTTGTTTTCAACTTAAAATTTCCTTATCATAAGTGCCCTACATTAAGTTTCTTAACCTGAAATACTTTTTAAATCCAACTTTACTTTTAACATAATGACTTTGAATACCACAAATTATAACAAACAAAAGCATAAATAATGTAAAACTATATAAGTCATGAAAAAACAATATAAAATCAGTACCCGATACAGTGGACACTGCTAAAACACATTCAAGAATGTTAACAACTTCCAGTTCTATTCCATGTAATGGAAGATTCATGAAACAAAGGACAGAATAAGTCAAGTACACAATTATCTGATTTCTGCAACAACTAGAGATTCAAAAACCAAGTATATGGAGGAATATGTGAATTGATTTGTAGTAGTGGAATGAAAAAAACAAGATTCCATGTGAAGCTGAAGCAAAAAGAAACTATTTCTTTGAGAAAACAAAAAATGGTAAACCATACTAGAGGAAAACTATTGCCCTGATGTTTGTGAAGTTAAACGAAAATTAAAATAACCTCTACTTAAAACTGTTGGTATTAAACTATTTGAAGAACGATTAATACATGATCAACAGCAAATAAAAACAAAGCTTCCTCAGTGAGTCTTGACTCCTTCGAACCAGAAACAAATACATCTTAAAACACTAAGACTGTATCCAATTCACCTTCTTTCTGTAGCTGCCCAATCAGAAAATTGGATCACAAGAGTTCAAACGTATCTCTACTCCGTGTAGCAATTAGAGAGCAGTCCCATATATAAAATTCAAAGCAGGATACAATACAAATATAATATAAAATAGTAGATATCTTCTGCGATCAGATCCTATTATAGGAAGTAACATTTGGGGTTGAATTTATAAGAACACTTTGACTGAATGTAGGATATTGCAAATCAGAGCTTCAGAAAAATTCAAAAACTTTGCAGATATTAAACTATAAGAGTGGGACAGGTAATATTTGCATATCTCCCCCTCCAGCAGTTTAGTGGTAAGTGTGAAGGCTTATAACTGCCCACTGTGCAGTTTTGTGCTTAACAACAAAGCATGACTCACCCATACCCTTAGAAAAATCGTAACATGTGGAAAATACAGGGATCAAAAGTGTGGAAATAACACACAAGAACATTCCTAACAGTAACTGAGACCCAAAAAGTCTGGGGAAGACTAAGTGGGTAATCACAAACACTAAACAGGCTATTTCGAATCAACATATGTGCTGCATCAGCAGTAATCAGATTCATATATATGAAAACATGTACAATGGCACAAGAAGTCTCAAAAGGCATAATTCACCTACAGACTGATCTTGCATATCAAACATATACATTTTATGGATGGTATATCAGATGACTAATCAATAAATATTGACAGGAACCCCTCTAAATGTGGAAATAGACTAAACATGACAATTTTTTGGAAAATAAAAAACAGTAATTGTAGTTCTCTTCAGTGTGCTCACTGGAACAAACTATCAACACTCAACTGGTAATGATCCTGTTAATATAACAACCATAACAAGTGATAATGGTAATGATCCAGTTAATATAACAACCATAACAAGTGATAATGGTAATGATCCAGTTAATATAAAAAACAAAAACAAAAAGACATTTTTTACTTATGTAAAATTATAAAAGGGACTCTTTATTCACCCCAAATTTTAATATGCTAAACTACATTGAACCAACACTGAGTTTTAAAAAGTACTTTGTATTGAAGTTTTGAAGCCCCAAAGTACTCACAGACCTTGGAAACGATCAGAATACTTTTTTGATAGGTCTTTAGTTTCATCATTTGAGATAGAAAAGTACTAAGCTTCTCTTATTTCATCCAAAATTATATCACTGAGGATATCCAAAATGGCATACTGTATATTGTGGTGTGTATATTTGATATTTTTAGGTCTTTCACATAGTTGTTCATTTAGGATCTGGAAAGACTAAGAAATTTAACACTTTCAAAAAGATTCTTTTATTTCCAGCTGTGTCTTTTCACAATGACCCCTCTCAGCTATGTTTTGGACAGCTGTAAGTCTCAACATATCTGCAAGTATTTTGATGTATTCCCTATTTTTTTCCATAATCAGCCAGTGTGCTTCGTTAACATGGTCCGCTACTATTTTCTCAGAAAGCTTTGATTCTAAACAAGCATGGTATTTGTACAAGTTGTTCAAATGTGCATCAGACTATTTGTGTTTGAGAAGTTTATTGTTTTTTTGGAGATTCACCAGTGCACTTTTTCTGCAAAAGCTTGCTCACCTAGATATTTAGTGCTTGTAGTAAAATAATAAAAGACAGAACAGTAAATTTTGTCAGTAGATGCAGGATATTCAAGCCAATGATATGCATATACCATTCAGGTGTTAATTTTCATCCATGAGTTGTTGGAAAGCAGAAGGGCTCATTAAGACTAGGTCGAATTGGTCCATTGTCGAGCGTTGGAAATCTAATATGCAGATGACATGTGTAGCGATTTGTCACAGGTGAAATGAAAGAAGACATGACATAGTGTTCAAGTTAAAATAAAATAAAATGCTTTTGTTTGTTTCTTTATAATTAAGGACAAAGCTAAACAATGGGCTATATGTGCTCTGCAAACCACAGGTATTGAAACCCAGTTTCCAGTATTCTAAGTCCTAAAACATACTGCTATGCCACTGGGGGACTAAAATGCTTTATTTAAAATAAAACTTAACATTTTCTAACACTGACAATGTATTTCCAATAGGTACTTACCTCCCTCACCCAAAACTATCTCAACCTTGATTTGACCTCTAAGCATTATACCTCCTTCATTTTTGCACCATTGCAGCAATGTGTACTGATCATGTGACTACCCTCCACCAATCATAATATGCCCTCTATACTGGACCTCTACCATTGCAACACAATCCTTACTTTCGAGAATTGGCAGATACAAAACAGAAACACAAGCAAATCAGTGAGGAGGAAGGGTAGGAATGGGTGAGATGGGGTAAGTACCTATCGGAAATACATTTTCAGTGTTAGAAAATGTTAACTTCCAAAATGGTATTACTTCCTCACACCCAAAGCTAAAATTCCATACTGCAAAGGTGGAGAGACCGGTGAAAGTGCAAAAGTAACTAAACAAGTAGAGAACAACCTCCATGAAAGAACAGGTGTGCCACAATAATAAAAGGAGGCACACCTGTGGGGTATAGCACTACTGCTGGAACAGGTATGCTCTTTGCCCAGTAACAAACAAAGGAAGACACATAGGGCAGAACGTAATAGACAGGCACCATGTCATGTAAGACAGATTCCACCTGTGGACTACAGATAGTACGTAAGGTGTCCACATATGTAATGAGCATGAGCACATGACACAATGATAGTTGGATTTTAAGAAGGTGACTGTAATCTGATATAAGAATACATAGCTAAAGCTACAGAACCATATCTGAATAGGTCAAGTGTAGTCCAACCAGGCAGAAAACATCCAGGGGATACAACAGATTATGCCAAGTGCAGTCCAATGGCAAAAACAACATGGAAGCATCTTGCATAAGTTTATAAGATTAACAAGTGCAGTCTGCCCGGGCAAAAAACATCCAGGGAAAGCACCTTGGATAATATGGAGTATGTCAAGTACAATCCATCCAGACATAACACATCCAGTGGAAGTGCCTTGCATAAGATTGTGTGTTTTATATCTTGTATGAAAGGTATTGAGAGTTAAACAAGTGTGGTCCACCCAGGCAAACAACATACAGGAAAAGCGCCTTGTGGTTATTGAATATAGCAAGTGCAGTCCATCAGGCAGAAAAATTGAATGAGAAAAACATAATGGAATGCCCAAAATTTACTTTGAATTTGATTGTTGCTATGTAAAAAACTTTTATTCTAAAAGGATCTTATCACTGAATAAATTATTTCCAAAAACAAAAAGAAATTACTACACCAAACAGACAATTCAGCAATAAAACAAAATTACAACCAAGAAAAGTTGTTAACAAGAGAGAAAGAACTATGTATTTTAGTTCCTATCTAAGATATAAAATTAATATTTATATACATATTCAGTTACATAATGTCATATCGGAGACATATATTTAAATTTTAAGATTAAATTGTTTCCAGGAATATATATACATAATGTAATACATGTTCTGATAAGCATCTACAAGGTACCGTTTTAATAGATTCTTATCAAATTTTAAATATTTCAAATATTGTGGCCATTTCAACTGTGTAAATGGTTTCTAGGTTAGGTTTTCCATAAATGTTGGTGTACTTTCTTCAATTCCAAGCTCCATGTAAATGATCAGCAAAGGAATTTCCACTGTAGAAAGTACACTTCCTAAACTCACATAATTCTAAGCAGTATATATCAAAGACAGGAGTTCAACTCTCAAAAAATTAAGTTGTTTTTTTATGGTGTTGGTTGGAGATATATCACAGAGAAGAGTGATACCTCAGTAAAGTCAATTATGGGTGGTTTTATACTGAATATCATTATCGAAGTTTCCCTTTCCAGTCCATTAAATTTCTGTTTTCAAGAATAATAAGGGTTACAGTAGCTATTGTTAAAGTAACCCACAGACAAAAAATGTCAGAATTAACACAGTTTTTATGTTTTCAAATTGAAAATTAAAAAACTTACTGATCTGTGTCTATAACACTGAAAGAGTCTATAAAAGGAAAGTTGGTCTGTATTGCCTCAAATTCTTCTTGGGAGATAGCGCTGTCTTGATCAATGTCATATGTTCCAAAAATGGCCTGAGAAAAAAATGCAAGTCAATAACTGCTACCTAAGTTGCTGTTTCAATACATTTTTCAAACATCTAAATCAGATTTAGAAGAAAAAATTCTGAACAATTATATTTACCTATAAAAAACTGGTGGAAAAGAATATCTCAATTTCCTCAACTACACCTGTGATAATCCAAGGATAAATAAAGCACACATTTACCTGTTCTTTGCAATAATTGTAGATTCAAAAACTTAGTATGTGGAAGAAGAGGTGCAGTGATTTGATACAAGTGAAAAGAAAGAAGAATAGTTTCAAGATGAAATGAAAAATGAACACTTTATTAACTGAAGAAAGCAGAAGAATTACACATTAGCTAATGATTGAAGAGATAGGATAATTGAATTGTGGCTTAGAGTTGAAACATAAGTTGAGAAAATAAGTGTATTTGAATGGAGAGAGTAAGTAAAAAAAAATTATACTTAATATAATGAATGAACTAAACAATAAAATACACACTCGTGATTAACAAAACGACTATAGCATTTTAAGTGGGTTTGGTTCCTTACAGAAAGAAACAAATATGTTTAAAATTTCAAACTGCATTTACAATTCAGCTCCCCTATGTAGCTAACCAATTAGAAAATTGGATCACAAGTATCAGAAATATCTCTGATCCACGTGATAGTTGTAGAGAAGTCCCACATATGCAAGATAAAGAAAAATACAATAATACTATCCTATCAAACAGTAGATGTTTACATGACTGGACTTTCCTACAGAAAGTACACTTCGGGCTGAATTTACAACACAACCTTGATTGAATTGTGTATGACCAAAATTAGAAGTTGAAAGTCTTTAAAATTTGTAGATATGAATTACCTACTATGGGAGGGTCAGATGTACCACATACACTTTAACTTCATATCATGGATGTGGCCATTCTTGTAGTTACATGTATTACCAAAATTTATGTGTATATATTCCATAAGACCATACATAGTGTAAATAAATAATTTATAATAGCCACACTTCACCAACATAAGCTAGTTTACACCACAAAAGTTGTTGTTCATACAAGTGATGATATAAACATGAGAACCTAGGCCACTACTATGTCAGTCATTTCCCAGCTGGCCTGATGGCAAAAGCTCTTGTTGGCATTGGATACAGCAGATACAGTGTGATTAACATACTGTTATACATTCTTCTTTACTTTTACTCATAACTTCTTAGATGGTTATAAGAAACTGTGTTACAATGAAAATGGCACACTAAAGTTTTTAAAACATAAAATTTGCTGCAGTGAATTAATAAAAACAAAAGAAAACACTTCATCAAGCAGAAAAACTTAAGTGAAATATCAGAGCTACTTTACTGCAAAAAATAAAATCTTAAATCCATTTTACAGAATATAGTATTAAAAGTCTTCAGTGGATAAAAATTAACCAACATGACTGTCAGAATTTAAAAATATACATTCTTCTTTTTACCACTTATCAAAATATAGAGGCTTTTAGTTATATTTATTTATAGTATTAGTATATAATATGTTGTTGTTGGGCTTAAGATTTTTCTACAGTAGGTGTCTGTGACTTGTTAGCAATAATTTCAAAGATTAACAAACAGCACACACTTTACTTGTTTTCAATTAATATATATATTTGGAACAAGTTAAACGTATGTATAACAAATTCTTCAACACTATAGAGATTACAGACATATCATAAACACTATTTATATATAGTTCTCTCATTCTTGTCAAAAGTCCACTTAAGCCAATCCAATTACTTTTAGAATTTCAGCTGACAAGCCAAACTATCTTCTCTATTACTATCACACTAGTATTCTGTGTGCGATTCACTTACAATTTTGGTGTGAGTTACCATAATTGTTTGGTCTTCTTTCTTCTGAAGATCCTCTGTTCCTTTTGTCAAAGTGCAGCTGATTCAGTTACTTTAGAACCACGCTTTGATGGAATAAATTCTTCTTCTTATCTCAGTTTCTACTGTTAGTCTTTCTCTAACATATTAAACATTAGGCCTATGTTAATCGTTATGCCTGTCACTTTTACTGTAATTAAATTCACGTTGAACCATTTCGTTTTGTAATTTTACTTTCTTCTGCTATTATCTGTCTGCTGCTTCCCGCTTGACTCACGCTATTTATATCTTTATCACCTAATCGTCTGTCTGCCTTCTATATTCTTGACATCAATGTATAGCACGCGATGTTCAATAGTCTCAACATCAATGAATTTTTAACAAAACATCCTACAATCGTCTGCTTTTAACTCTTATTATAACAAAAACTCAACAATAATAAAATATTCATTCACAAAAACAAATCGATCCATAACATCTAAATTAAACAGTCTTTTATATCATGACAATAATACCAACTGTTCCAACCATACATAAACTATGTTGTGGTGAAAAAATGAAGACAATGAATAGAGTATATGACACTTATGACCTCTCACTATACATACTAATGAAGATATACTTCTAAGCTTTGACATTCATATACATCTTTCATAATAACTGGCATCTACACAACATTGGAGATTAATGCACAAAATAAAATCACTGTAAAATACAATATTGAAATAGAAACAAACTTGTATTATATGGCAATGTTTCGAGCAACTGCTATTTGTCAGGCTTAATATGAAAATAGAAAAGCCTGATGAAGAGCAGTTGCTCAAAATGTCACTAAATAAAACAAATGTATTTCTATTTTAACATTGTATTTTTACATTGATTTTATTTCATATACATATGCCAGCTATCTTATATGAATGAGATGGAAACTGCAGTCCACAATTTTAAAGAAACCAATTTCTTGGTCTAAAAATATATTCTATACATGATGTATTTTTAAGAAGTTAATTTCCAAAGATTCCTTCTGAATGAACATGAAAATTTATAGGGGGATATACACATCTCATAACTAATTTTTGAAACCTTTTCAAAATCTTCAAAACATTTTTCAACTGGCCTACAGATAGTACTTGTTAAAACCTATTATAATATTAGAATATTGTAATTATGTCTTCAATTACCATCTTTGATCATTTCATTTGTAATGCACATGAAACTTGAAAATATTACTAGAAAATTAGTTAATTATCTCATTTCTGTAACAGAAAACTCATTAACGTGTTGTCGTAAGAAGTGAACTTGGGCAAGTATTCAAGTTTGTTAATGAGGGCATACTTGTAAGTGCTAAAATGATAGCCTTTAAAGGTCAAATGATGCAAATAAACACATAGATTTTGTGAAAAGTTTTAAATTGACCTTTACTGAAGTTAATGCTGCTCATTTAATGATGTGACTTTGCAACTTAATCCCAAGCTTGTGTTTTAAAAATTTAACTGGTTGAAAACAACTTTATGTTTCTTTAAAATGTACACCTGTTCAAAATACCATTCATGCAAAACAAATAATATACATCAAGGGTACAGTAATGTAAAGTACAGAGTACTTTTGTTTTAGAGGAGAGATTACACTAAATTGAATGTTATCAGTGCTTTTTTATGGTATTTAAAGATTCTTTTATAATACAATCTCTTGTGTTCATAAAATCTACAAGAGCTACAAATCACTCCCCTGGAAATTTCTTTGGGAGAAAGATTGCTTTCATCAGTAGCTTAATTAATCTAATGTCATTTTAATTGTTCAGACAAGTTGGTAAGTGCTAAATGAAGAGTCTTTCAATTAAAGAAAATACAAAGTTGAAAAAAATAAGTCTCATTTGTATTAAATGGATATTTTTTAGTTTTATATCAATAATAGCAAAAATCTGGAATGTATTCAACTCAATGTGAAGACAGATAATACTAATCCAGTTTTAATCATTGAAGAGTATTTAAGTGACAAACCAGATTTATTTCTTTTTATCTAACTACACAACATAATTCAGCAGTAAATATTAACTGTACAATGTGTTATTTCATTAGCTATAGTCATATTCCTCACAAAAATATCCACAACATAATGACTTTGTCATATGACAAATAATAATATCATAATACAATGCAGTATTTGTGTTGAAAAAGCTTTTTCAGATGGCAAAAGCAATAATTCCTGTCCTACCTTTTGATGGTCATTTGTAAGGCATTTGTAGATGTACAAAAAGTACATCTACAAATATCAAAACCTTAGGCACATTAAAAATAATGCTTGCAAGAAACAAATTACAAGTGTGATGAGGCGTGGGACCAATTTGATTCCTCAAACATAAGAGAGACTGTTAATACTATTATTATTTAGTTTACAACATTAATTCTCAACAAATATATTATCTATGTACTGTTCACCTGCATCAAATTTTTACACTAATACTTTTAATCTTAATTGAAAACAATTAATTTGTTTGATTAACAATATTAAACAAACCTTTACAATAGAATGAATGTGTTTGGTCATAGTTTCTGGGTCTGGTGAAGAATCCACTCCAGCAAGCCACTCTGCAAATACCCCTGGCTTCGTAGGTGAAGACTGAGGCTAAGAAATTTGTAATTATTAGTGAAAATTCTAAAAGATAAAAAAAAATATGAAACAATTATACTGAAAGATTCAATGAATGTGAATAAATCAGTAATATTTTAAAAGGGCAGGAGCTGCAAGATTCTTTTTTTTGGGTGGGGGGGTTATCTGCAAAATAACTGACTTGATGGGAAGTAAAAACTTGACAGAACACATTAATATATTGGAAATGTTAAAAATATCGATTACAATTTTTGTGATTTAAGTTTATCTCAAAATATTATTCAAAACAAAACTGGCAAACGCTGTGTTTCACACTCAATGAATTCAATGTACACAAAAGAATAGAACATGAATGTATTTAGAGTAATCTAGAAGAAAAGTTCAAATTAATGTGCAAAACAGTTACAACTACGTTAAATGACTGTTTTTAAAAGTTTCTTTTTATAAATAATGATTTTAATTTACTTTAAATAAACTTCAAAAGAATATGTTATTTGTAAATTACAGATATCTTGAATTGGCTGAATTTCTCAGGAAGTATTTGATTAAGAACTTTTCATGCGAGGTTTTTGTCATCAGAAATGTGGTGCATTGCATGAATTAATAATTACTCCATATTAGAAATTAGATAAGGATTTAAAATAATGTCTAAAACCTTGAATTATTTTTGAATTCTTTTAGAAGTCATATATTAAAGATATTAATTATGAAAGAAGATATGAAAGAAAAAAGATTTAATGTGAGAGACATCTGAAAAATTACACTGTTCTAAAACAAACTTCTGTTTATGAAGAAAATTGCATATCATTAAAAGTTTTCCAAAACTTAAAGTATTACCAGAAAAAATAATTTCTAAAATGATAACACATGAACTACATATTATTTCCATAATTCAGTGAAAAATCATGAGTTTTTTGAAGTACTTATAATTATTCAATTGTTATAATATGCTTAATAAAAGTCTTGGAAATTTAAGTAGATTGTGAGAAATCCACAAGATGATGAACTTGATTCATCTTATAAAAAAAACTTGAGTCATTTTTTAATGAAACATATTCTCAACACTTTATTCATTTTACTTTATTAGTACAATAAAATATTCCATGTTAAAAAATTAACATATAATCAAAAACATATATTTGAAGTTCCAAATATAAACCTTGATTCATTACATCACAATGCAATAACTGGTCCAATTCTATCTGTATATACCTTCAGTATATACCTAAATACTCACTGAAGATGGATTACGAGGCTCTCTGGTGAGTGACAGTTCATAAATTTCATCTTCTGTACAGGTTACATCCAAAGAAAGCTGAAGAGGTGAAGAAAAAAGAAACCAGATAAAAACACCTTCCTGACAAATTGTTTTACTATGTTTGGTTCATTATTATTTAATATTTGGTTTGCAATATACAATATTTGAAATAATTGCAGAAACAGTGAAGAAATATAGTATAATAAGCAAATATCATATGAAAATGAACTGCACAAGAGTATAGTCATGTAATGGTACTTTATACTCTGATTGGTTGTCATCCAATCAGAAAGTCACATCAGTATAAAGCCTATAAAATTACAAGCAGTCATACTATACCAGTAATTGAAATGTGATTACAATCATAGCTCCCAGGATTGAAATACTATATGATAAATATAGTAGAAGACTGACACTCTAAAAAGTGATACTGAGTATCTCAGAGCATATGTTTTACAAGATGGGCAATAGTCACGTACAGATGTTACCAGCAACCTTGCAATAAAAACAGACATCAATATCACCTCGGGAACAGTAAGTTATACATTAACATGGTCTCAATGGATCTGTAAATGATCGATAGCTACTGCTGAGAAGAGATAACCAAACCAGCATGTTGAACTGGGAATTCCATCATAAACAGTGGAATGAGAACAAAGGAAATGTGCTATTTACAGATGCACCCATTTGGCAATAATCAGTGGTTATTTGATAGTGGAGAGAAGAATGGTATCATAGTCAATGTACAACATCGACAGTGAAACATGATAGGAGAATAGTACAAGTTTGGGCTGCATCTCAGTTAATGGTGATGGTGATCTAGACAAAAAAAAAAAAAAAATGGCACTCCAACTGCTCATAAATATACACAGATTCTGATTCATCATGCCATTCCCTCAAACATGACTCACTGAGTGGGGATTCATCTTGTAGCATGAAAATGATTCCAAACATAAGACTAATCTAATAAAACAACATATTGCTATTAAAAGACTGATGGAATACTCACAACCATGACTTGGCCTACACAAAGTTCATATATTAAGATTCATAGTGTTGTATTGGCTCATGTAAAACTGAGAAGGTCTGAAGGCGACTACCAATAAATTTAACATCTACTTGCAATTACTCTGTTGAATATGCAAGACTGTTTAGTGTAAGAGTTATTATTTATTTCACTTAGTGATATAATATATCTATATATACATATATAGATGACCAAGTGAGCACAAGTTAATGAAAATGAAGTTAGACAACATGATTGTTAGTTTAGCCGTAACGGTGATATTTAAAGTGAGTTTCACAGTTAACAGAAATAAGGAAAAATAATTTGTCTTGCCAAAGGATGTTCTAAAGTAACTGAACCCATATGTGTGGACTTTGATAAAAAGGAGACAATTATTTATTATGTGAATTGATCACATATTGTACAGTAAGAAACAGAGTGGAGAAAAATAATTCATGTTGTCAAATGGATTCTAAAATAATTGAATCTGCCTATGTGGACATTTGACAAGAAAAGAGAATTATTTAGAGTTTTAGATACAACTGTGATATCCTATCGTGTTAAGAATTTTCATACATGTGTCTGACTTGTTTTAAATATATATTATTTTAAAACAAGTGGATTGTGTGTTGTCCGTTTATTGCTTTATTGCTGTAAAGAATGCAGCCCTTACATACATAGAAACTAGACATACTCTATGCTTTTGACTCCTGTATATGTATCATTTGTGTGTTTCAATATATATTTCCATTATTGCTTAAATGTGTTTTACCAAAAGTAATTAACAGATTAGTGAAAGAAACAGAAATTATTACTTCAGGTTAAAATATTACAATAATTAATATATCATTTTTAACCAGCCTCACAGATGTTTTTTCAACTACAGTTCATTAAAGGATCAGGCATAAAAAAAAAATATCATTTACTTCAGGTATGGTGGGAAATGTGCTGACATGTTCCCTTGCAATTTCACTTTCTTCTGGGGTTATTGACTGTTACACAACAATTCACTAATTTCACATTCTGAAAATTCTCTTCTGAAATTTGCTGGAGGTGCTGAGTGACCATTAAGTTCATAAAAGTTAGCATTTTCTAAATCTGAAAATATATTTCCTATAGATACTTACCTCCTTTCACTCAAAGCTATCTCAATCCTGGTCTGCCCTCTGTATTGCTAAAAACAATTTCGCTACAGTGCACCAGTCTTTATACTCCACCTGTTTTGCACCATTTCAAAACTTGCTGATCATGTGACTACTCTCCACCAATCGTACTGTGCCATCTATACTGATGCAGCTAGCTCCCTCTACTATTCTCGAATAATCTTCACTTTCGAGAATGGGCAGGCACAAACCATAAACACCAGCATCTCAGTGGGAAGGAAGGGTGGGAAGTGGGTAAAAGGAAGTAAGTACCGATCAGAAATACATTTTCAGAGTAAAAACTGTTAACTCCTAAAATGGTACTACCTCCTATTACCCAAAGCTAGAATCCCACATTGCCAAGGTGGAGTGGCCGATGAAGGCACATCAATCTCAAATCAGGCAGAAAATGATTGCACTGAAAGAATGGGTGTGCTCTTCACCCAGCAATCAGTACTGTAACACAATTGGGGCATAACTGAACTGACAGGCACAACTGAAGTCAATAAAGAGACGTACAGCACTGAATCCATGTAGGAAATGCTGGATAACTCTCACATGAGTCAATATGGACTTGACAAACAAGGAAAGGCTCGTGTGTATGCAACCATTTTTCCTTATATGCATGTGCCAATGGAAGTGTCTTGGGTTATATTGTATTAAGCCAAGTGTGGTTCATTCGGGCAAAACATCCAGTGGAAACACCTTGTATAAGATATAGCGATCAACAAGTGTGGTCTGCCCAGGCAAAAACATCCAGGGGAAGCAACTTTGGTTACGTCAGATTATGGCAAGTGTGATTCTGCCGGGCAAAACATCCAATGGAAATGCCTTGTATAAGATATAAACAAGTGCAGTTCACCTGGGCAACACCCAGAGGAAAGTGCCTTGGATAAATAAGATTAGGCTAAGTGTGGTCCACCCAGGCAAAAAACATCCAGTGGAAGTGCCTTGCATAAGAAGTATATGATCAACAAGTGTATAAGATATAAACAAGTGCAGTTCACCTGGGCAACACCCAGAGGAAAGTGCCTTGGATAAATAAGATTAGGCTAAGTGTGGTCCACCCAGGCAAAAAACATCCAGTGGAAGTGCCTTGCATAAGAAGTATATGATCAACAAGTGTGGTGTGCCCGTTCAAAAACATCTGGGAGACGCACCTAGGAAACAGAATATTATTAAATAATTCACTGTTCAGTACTGTAACGATTATAACAACTATATCCCTCTTCTCGCTGAGTGAGTACACATGCACTTCAAAGTTTTATTTTGTTTTTCAAAATGAACTCGGGAGAACACCTCCATGTTCTACCATACCAGTGGCTGGGAACTGGAAGTGGTAGGGACTCCTGTGCTCCACTACAAAAGAAGGGAGGAATACGCTTTGGGGAGTCCTGAAGAATGACACACTAGAGACAGTGCAATGGGTGTCTGTGATTCCCTATTTTGAAAAGCAGATAGACACCGATTATACAAATCACTGGTCAATAGGGATGGGCAGAAACCCCCATCTGCTTCACTCATGAGGTGCATGAGTGATGGTCCTTTATAAATGAAACTAGTAACTTTTAGTGAACAAAATTTATATAGATACACATATCACTGGACAAGCTGCTGGTGGTCTTACAGAAACAACCCCATCTGAACAGTGAGCATTATAGAATTATTCATATCAAGTGCAAATATAATATGAAGGAGGATGGAGAAGAAAAAAGGAATGGAAAAGGAAATAAATAACAGAGGAGAAGAAAGCTTTCTGGAACGGGGAGAGTTGGAAAGTGTTTGACAGGGCAGCCCTATAACTAGAAACAGTTGACATGGACCAACCTTGATCAAACAACCAGGAGAATAACTGGAAAAGATGAGGCACCAAAGACAGGAGGGGCAGAAGCAATGGTGAATGAACCAAGATCTGAAAGTAGACCACTGCCTGTGGTACACAGACAAGGAGGAAGATCAAATGGAATGGAAAAGGAAAGATGCTATATGAGGGCTGAGGCAAGGGACCAGACAAAAGCCACACTTGAAAATGGAGTTTGTGATGTCGGAATGAACTATGTCCAATCACGGATTTTGGAGGGGAGACTGAAACAGGGGTAAGGGTGGGGAATGATGTTTCTTCCAGTAAGGGCCAGAGAAGAGGGAACACAGCTGAGCAGGTCAATATGGTAAGCAGAGGGTAAGCATATAGGTAAAGACCCTTCCAATCCTGACTGAATGCATCTACTCCCAAAGCTGATAGGTGTATAACCATAGGCTAAAAGGAAGGAATTTTAGCATACCAGTGAGTGGAAAACACACCCACCAAAATATCCATGGAAGAAGGGAACACTCCATTGGGAGAACCTGGTTGGGTCGAGATAAGCGATAAGCCACCAGATTCATAATGCCGGGAACATGACATGCTAAGATTGCCATGTAGTGGTCATGGGCCCAGTAAAGAAGATCCAGGGTTTGAAAACACAGAGATCTGGATTTTGGTTTTCCCCTTGCTTGGTGATATAGCCAATGACAGTGGAATAGTCAAAATGGACTATGACCACCTGCCCCATCAGGAGTGGGAGGAAATGATACAGAGCCTGATGAACTACCAAATTTTCCAGGATGGTGAAAACAGAGTAGCTTCCTCAACAGACCATTGACTGGAAATATCTTGGGAATCGAGGAGACTCTGAACAAGGTGGAGGTGGTCAGTTCCCCATTGAACCACCAGAGAATGTCGGCCCTGATCTCAGGGGGAAGGGTAATGGGATGTTCCAAGGGATCGTGGGAGAAGTTCTATTGGTCTAGAAGCATCAACTGAAGGGAATGCATGTGATTTCAACTCAAGGGAATAAGAGCTTCCAAAGAATCCCCATCTCCCTAAAAGAGAGAGAACCATTCGCACAGTGAGAAAAGGGCATGATGAA